CCGTTCCTCTAACTCATCCGGTCGCTTCTTCACAGACTCTTCACACTGCTGGCCTGCACTTGGGGACAAACGCTTCGAGGAGCTCGGTCTCTCCACCTGCCAGGCTCGCGCACGGCTCTTCACATCTGCTAGAAACGAAGAAGTCCACAGCAAAAGTCTAGCTCCACTTTTGTTTGTATTTGCAGCTCAGCCAATCAACACATGCAAGCATTTCATCAAACACGCCTTGCCCTTCCCACCTTTGCTGTTCTTCCGCTGCTTCTCCAGCTCCTGGCCAAACGATCCGATCGAAGCCATGCATGCACAAGGACACCACCACTGCATACTTTATATAGTGACTAACAGTGTTTCTAAATGTTGAGTCAGGCAGAGACGACATTCCCCTATATATGTAACTAAAAACAGCATGTACACACACTTGCAAACCTATATACATCTACATATATATGCATATATGGGCAGATAGCCTGTAATCTAGTCCATGCATCCATCCATCCATCCATCCAGCCATCCATCCATCCACCTGTATATACATATATACTATATCATATATCTCGGTTTGCATCAGCATATAATGTTAATGCACATACTTTTCGTTATACACATATACATATACGCGTTGCCTTTTCTATACATATATACATACATACTGCTATGTGTCTACATGCATACACATGTGCACTGTGTCAGTGTCCGAATGTGCACCTGTCCACATCCTGCCATCACTACCAAAAGGCTACCCAAATAGAGTCACCCCGCAGAAACAGCCCCCGAAGCATAAGCATGCACCGAGAGTGAAATTTGATGCACAACACACATGTGGTCAAGCCTCCTCGCGAGCAGCCAGGTATGCTAGATATTGACGCTCGGTGTCACGGAAAACTTCGCGCTCCTTCTCCTCATCGGTGGTGGAGAAATCTTTCGTCTCATCTTCCTGAGCCCGGATCCTTTCCAGAATTGGCTCTTCGAACAAAATCCGGCAGGCTTCCTCCGAGTCACCAAACCGCTCAGCCCTCCGAAGCTTTTTGGCTTCCTCGTGGTCCTTCTTCGTCGATGGCTCGGGTGTCGAGGGTGGTCTTTTCGGAGTGGTGGGCGCTGGCACAGACTTCGTAGTCAATGCATCATAGTCGGTCTCAGGTGGGAGATTTTTTTTCAGCGCACGGTTCTGGAATTGGTTGACTCGGCCTACGACCGGGATCTCGTCCTCCGACTCAAACTGCCTCAAAGTCTCCGCGAGACCCACAGGATCACCTGAAGTTGTACATGTATACCCACTCCAACCCGAGTTTAATATTCCACTGAGCGAACATTCTTTCAACGATGAACCCAGCTTGCTTTAATTGATTTCTACTCCCCATTAACACAACTTGAGTCCCTATTCTACATCTTTTACATGTCACCAGAGTGAAAAAACAAAAGTCGAATCCCTACCTGCAGCATCATCCTCGTTCCATTCCTTAGCCTCCGCAGCACCATCCTCCAGTGCTTGCGTGTCAGCCAGCTGTGTGTCGACGTTGGTCAGATCCTCGTCATCCAAAGAAATGACCCCATATCCATCGTCGCAGCAGGCCCTTAGCTGGTTGTTGCTAGTGGGAGGCACCAAACACAGACAAGTTGACTGCCAGCTTACACAGAGCATTGCCAGTTAGGACATTAATCGTAGCAGCTATCGTGGTCGTCGTCGACCGTTGTTGAAGTTGTAGTTGTACTAGCATTAGTGGTGGTGGTAGAAGTTCTTGTTACACTAGTAACAACCATACTAGTAGTAGGTAGTAGCCGTAGTAGTCGTAGTAGAAGTAGCAGCACGAGTGGTGGTAGTAGCAGTAGTAGTAGTTGTTGTTGTAGTAATAGTAGTACTAGTAGTAGTAATAGTAGTACTCGTGCTAGTAGTCGTATTAATAAGGACAGTACGTGGGAATGATGGCATTCCTTGGTTTCCTACTGTCACGGTGGCAGCAATACTATAGTGCTTATCGTAGTTGTTGCTGTTGTTCTGTTAGCAATGGTCGTCACACTAAACCAGTGCAAGGCCAACAGAAGACTTATACGAGCATTACTCAGTTCCAGCCCAGCAGACACAAGAGCACTAGAAGCAGCACCCATGGAAGCGGAAGTAGTGTGCGCAAACACACTTATTGAATCAACCTCTTTAAAGTATTCTTGATTGTGTACACGACTAATTATTAACAGTCCGCTGACACATGTGCACGCACAGACATATGCACACCCCTCGATGTATATACGTGTTGAATTTAAAGGTTACGGACCTTTATATAGCGTCTGGAGTCTATCTCGAAAGCTATATGTGTCCGATTAGCATGGGCGCAAGCTTACACACCCACAATTTCATGTATATCTGCAAAAACAATTTGCACACGGTTTGTTCACCCCGAATGCAGGCCTCCACACCATTGTAGTTTATGATCCTATATATATATATATACATACTGCTATAATGCATACCCGCACGACGAAGGACCTCAGATACGAGATCTTTTCGTTGATCTCCTCCATTGTCAGGCTGGCCTCCGGCAACTTCTTGAATTGCTCTTCCTCGTTTTCCTCGTCATCGTCCGGAACCTTGACAATCTCGATTTCTTTCTTCACCTTTTTGGCAGTGGAGTCCACGGCCTCGCTCAAGTCTATGACTTCCACTCGTGGAACTTTGGCCAGGTCCGGCAACTGGCTCCCCCAATGCTTCAGCACAACTTCGTAAAAGGCATCAACGCCGGGGTCCTGCCGTACAAAGTAAACGTCCATGTGTATGTAGCTAAGTTTTATGCAAAGCACTATATATATATGTATGTATGTATGTATAAACAAACACATACTTCCACAGCGACTTGGGGCTTGGAACGGTCGAGACAAACATACACATATGCACACACGGATACATATACATGTGTATATATATATATATATATATGTATATATGTCTATATATAGGACCAATTAATGAGTTCCTCCGAATTCAATAATGGTGTACACTGGTAGACGAACATAGACGTGCATGTATGCATATATATGACCTCCGATTTCCAACGCCCCGAAATGCCCACACCAAAAAAATCAAAATTCAACACTCTGTCCTTGCGACAGCCAATTGGCACCCCCCAGCGCCGAATCGCTGTTGAAAACAGCTTCTTCAATCCCCAGCAGTCCATGTGCAGCTGCTGCGGCGAGGGCTCCAGCGACATCAATGCCGCGAACTGCTTCACCTGCATATGGGATATATATATATATATATATAGGGACTTTAACATCGTGTGTGACAAGCTGATGTACGAGTTTATACGTGCATGTACATATATGTATGTTTCTAGCATGTATATGCTTCTATGTGTATAAATGCAAGGACAAACAGGTATATACACATGAACGTCAGGATTAAAATGTGTGTGTCGTGCATATGTGCAGCGGGCAATGTACACACACACACAAATACAGACCTGCCTGCACTCGTAAATGCATACACTCGCACATCACTGCATGTCTCATGCAGGTGCATACATGTGTGCATGTACATACCATCTTCAAGTATGCTGGTGCTACTACGACCCATGCATTGCTTGCACGAATCATGAGTCCGGCATGCACGCACACACACATACAATCAGAATCCCCGCCTCTTTGCGGATCCACGCGATGGGTGGCGATTTCACCTTCTCACTTTTCGCACAAAACACCTCCGCAAAGGCACACATCACCTTTGTGTTGAAGCCCAGCGCTTTAAGCGACGGCAGGCCCTTCTTCTCTTCCGACTTCCATCTCAGCAAGGATTTCCTGCTGCGGAAGATTTCCCGAATCGAACGGTTGTCCTCCAGAGCATTAGCCAAGGATGCCTCGAAAGTGCACGGTTTCGGCATGGCAGCGCAGATGATCTCGCTGATCACTCAAATGCACTGAAGGTACAAAGGTCACACTGTGAACACTGTGAAGTACACTGTATCCAGCTGCACAGTAAGCGACCGCATGAGATTATGTTGCCAGGGTGTGCTTTTCAACAGTTTCAATCACGTGTCTCAGCACAGAACTTCGAGCACAAGTTCCTTCACACTGCATTCAAGGTTTGCTGCTGACATGCATCAGAATGCTGCCCTCAGAAGTTGCATCCCGAAAGCATGCACCCCTAGCTGGCCTTGTCAGGCCGCCAACAGTCATCGCTCCGCAGTGGCAGCAGCGAGCATGCCAGAAAAATGCGAGCACTGCATGGACATGCTTGGGAAGCTAGTGTTTGGAGATTCTGCAACATGTAAGCTTCTGAGCATCGTGATGGCATCCTGCAGCCCCCATATTTCTACATTCTATGAACTTTCACCCACGAGGAACATCGAAAAGTCAATATTCGCCTTCCACATTCCAGAAACGCCTGCGAAAGTTCAAAGGCAATTTCGCCCAGGAAGGCGGAATAAATCAACCCACGGGAGGGTCCAGGTAGGGTTCAGGGCTTAGGTTTGTGCTGCTTCATAGCTTCAGGACTGGCTCTGGAGTTCAGCATATGGGATTTGGGGATTCGAGGCGCGTAAGTCTCAATTAGGCCTAAGGCTAAGGTTGCCAATGATATGTGATCCTTTCCGAGAACAGGGGACCCTAATAAAGCACCCTAAGTAGTAGGACACTTATTAATTATAAGCACCCCAAAATAAGGTACCCCTAAATCTCGGACACTCCCATGTGCTCCTGGCGCCTCGGAACACAGCAATACGATTGTTCGAACAGGGTGTTCGAAGATATCCCTTGTGGGGCAGATACTCTCAATAAGGCCCCCTTCAAGAGAGCCAGAAGCAGGATGGAGAACAGTCCCCTTTTAAGGGCTCTCCCTAATACTACCTACCCGAACGAGACACACCTTAACGCCTTAAACTTACGACTTCTGCCCCTAAATTGCGGATGCCTCCCAGCGAGAAACAAAAACTGACACTACTATTACCTGAACTCTTATACGACCCTGAAACCCTATGAGGCTTAAACGAATCAGCAGAACAGCGCTCGAATGTCAGGCGGAGAGCAAGCCAACGAGCCTGGGCCTTCAGCTGCGACATTCTTCAGTGCAGGGTGTTGGCTAAGGTTTCAGCTATGCTGTGTGTCTCTCGCTGCGTTTAGGACTACCTTCCGTGTAGAGTTTGGGGTTTCGAGTTTTTTGTTTTGGAGGGGAGGCGCGGCAGGGGTTTTGGATGCAGAAATTTGAGTTGGAGCTTTCCGGCTGTGGGGCCTTGACATTGTGTTGTTTCTAAACTTAACCCCCAACTAAACCCTAAACTCTTGCACCCTGAACATCAAGACGCAGAAAACAACCGCTGTAAGGCTTCTAAACGTAAGGCTTCTAAACCCCGACTTGGAACCCGCTTCCTTAGAAAGACAGGTATGTCATGAGTTGAAAATGAGACGAGAAAGCTGCAGTGCTTGGATCTGCAAAGGCACAGAAAGGGTTAGTAGCTGTATTGGTTTGGCACTCCTGTCCTCACAGAGGTAATTAGTAGACTTAGCAGACACGGCTTGTGCGGAGTCCAGTGAGACCACTGACGTTATCCTTTTCATTGCCTATGGCCTGACTTCTTGCCTTTCGTCTGCCTTTCATGTGCCTTTCGCCTGCTTGCTTTCCTTTTGTCTGCCCTGTTGTTGTGTTCTCTGCATTTTGGCTTGCATTTTCCGTATTCATCGGTTTGCCTTTCTATTGCCTTCCTTTTGGCTTTCTAACACTAGACCGTCAGCACCACGAAGGAACCACCGATAAACATCATTCAACCACATGAGACCCAAAACACCCAAGGGTAATCCCTGTAGTGCTTTTTGGAAAGCCTTTCAACCAAGACCGAAGCCCTGCTACAGAAAAGCACGCCTCCGAGGCTCAAACGCTCTTCTGCAGCGCTCTCAGCGCTTTGAGGTTTTAGGGTGGGTTTAGGGTTTATAGGGTTTAGGGTTGTGGACTTGGGCTTTGGAGGTCGTGCAACGGAATTCCGAAATCATGTCCTGCACCCTGAGTCGCTGACCACTCCGTCCCAAACTGTAAGCCTGAGTTCATTACCTTGAGTGTAAACATCTACCCCACCAAAACCTAAACATCGATATTCCTAGAGCTTATCCTAAACTCGAACTTCTCAACTCAGAATCATGAACACGGATCTGAAGCCCCTGAACGCTACTTCCTAAACCTTAATAAACCCTTAGAGCGAACCTTACGCATTCCACCCTACACCCTAAATGCCGCAGGGAGAAAGGTCCATCACACTGCAAAACGACCTTACCCCAAGGGTCCAAGCTTGGCTTGAGGATAGTAGCCGTGTACATTAGTGCTTGGGAGAGTACGTGATCATTAGGTACTTGGGCCCTTAGGGTTCGGCTTACTAAGTACATCCAGGAGTTTAAGAGTAATTAAAATTTCCTAAAGTCCTACTGTGTGCTATAAGGATACCCCATTCCTAAACCCTAAACCCGAGTATAAGGATACCCCATTCCTAAACCCTAAACCCTCTGGGTATCTGGACCCTCAGGGCTGACCCTAAGGGTGCATGTACCTAGATAGTATATACATTCGCCTTAAAGTCGTCCCTATATAGGTACATTGGGGCCAATGTATATACTATATGGGTACATGGACCCTTAGGGTAAGGGAACAAAGACCGAATCCCCAGCTCTTGTCTCAAGGCCTTCAAACATCGACTTGAGCACCGCCCAGCTCTCAGAAATGGCGTAGGTTTTAGGGTTTAGGGTTTAGGGGTTTAGGGTTTAGGGTTTAGGGGTTTAGGGTTTAGGGTTCATTCAGGGTTATAGTATACTAGGTAGCGTTTTTTTGATAGTTGTTTGGTTTCCCCTTATGGCTTCTTTGGAGGTACATAGTTAAGGGCCCCAAAACTAAGCTCTCAGAACTGGCGTAATCGAGTGGTCTCTTGGAGTAGTCTTATAGTATCACCTTCGATTTGGTCCAGATGTTATATATAGCTCTACTGCGAGGTTTCCTCAGACACTATTCTGAGGACAAAGACCCCTATAATCCCTGTAATCCCCTACACTCTATTCTATACTCCTAGGTCATAGAGGCTTTTAGTAACCCATTTAGAGCCCTTTGGAGCTTTTGAAGCCTCGAATGACCCCTCAAAGGAAGCCGGAAAGGAACCCTTAAAGGAAGCCTTGAAGAATCCCTTAAAGGAGCCTTCAAGGGGAATTCTTGAAGGTCCGCTGGAGGAAACGCTTGTAGTAAGGCTTGAAGGAGCCCTGAATGGAGCCTTTTGAACGAACCCTTGCAGGAGCCCCATGCTAATCATGAAATGCGGACCTAACCCTAAACCCCAAAAGTCTATAAGCTCTAAACCAAAGCCTATCCAACTGCCGTAAACTACCATGACCCACTTTGTTGCAGCAAGGTGTGGAGTTTACATGGAGCCTACAAACACAAGGTAGGTTCTGGTAGGTTGAGGTGCCGATTAGCGCCTGACTCCGAGACCAGGTCGGGTGTGCCACTGCGGCCTCCGACGGCAATCTCGTGCTTGGTCCTGCATTTATAAAAGGGTTTTATGATTTTAGGGTTCAGGGTTTAGGGTTTGGGATTCTAGGGTTCCGGGGTTTAGGGCCTCGGGTCCTTTGGGTTTCGCCTTGTACGCGGCTTTTAGGGCTCAGCTCCTGGATGTGCGGGGTTTACGGTTCAGGGATTTTAAGTGGATTTAGGGGTTTCTGGGCTTGAAAGTGTTTGCTGAATGGTGGATTGCAAGGGTTTTGAGGATGAAGCACTACAAGCTCTCGTAGGGAAAATGCTAACTACTACTATGAACGTTGAAGCTTGAGTGAGGTTGTAAACACCCGTAAAAATCATCGCACGAATCCTAACTAAACCCAAAGCCCTAAAGAGCGCGACGAGAAGTATCTTCGGATGCTCAAAAGCGGTGTGGGGCTGTTTAGGGTTCAGGGTTTCGAGTTACTTTGTTCCTTGTGAGTGGTGGGCCCCGAACATTGAGATGCTGTGATTCGACTTTGGGTCGCCGAGACACCGCACCAGCTACCACCAGATGGTGCTGCTAACATGGCGTCTTCTCTTGTAACTCTAGTGTGGGTCTTTCTCCACTTTGTAGAATTATAGGCTTATGGTGATGATGATGATGATGATGATGATGAACTCATGGCAGCTGTTTTTGTGAGAGCATTGACTCATCGACACAGGTCTTTAATGTTTGTCGTTGTGGTTGTTGTTGGTGGTGGAGGCGGTGGGGACGGTGGTGGCGGCAGCGGCGGCGGCGGTGGTGGTGATATTGTGGCCAATGTTGTCGTTGAATGTAGACAATGAACACCGGCTGTACATTTGGTGACGCCAGATAACTGCGATTTACCATGTCTTGCCATTCCGATGCTGTTTGCAGTTGGAGGAGTGTTTGCTCAGAAGATGACCTTCTTCATGCAAATCCAAAATTTCATTTCAACGCCGAACTCTGGCAACCGAAACACCTCAGAAATCCTCAACCCTGAAGCCCAAACCTAAAACAACCCTAAACTCCTAAACCCTAAACCCCTAAACCCTAAACCCTAAGCCCCCACACCCCCAAACCCGGAAGTCGGCCTCAGACTCTGCGGCGCCACCAGTGCCGACAAAATGCAGACAAAACGAACCTGCCAGGCCCTGCGCTGCCGGAGTCGAGCGCACGCCGGTCGCAACATCCGGAAGCTCTGTATATATATATATATATATATATATATATATATATATATATTGGAGTGTGCAATATTATGGTATATTATGGCAACTTCTTGTGTATGATAGTATATTGTGGTATATTATAGTGTGCTATAACATCTTCATTATTGTGTTTGATAGTATATTCTTGCTCAGCTTGTTATTGCTGCGACGGCGAGTGTGTGTTTTTGCTTCTGCCGCTGCCAGTGCTTTTCTGCCGCTGCCGCAGCTTGTTTTCTGCGAAGAGGGCGATTGGTGACGATGAGCATGAGGATGAGTATGAGCATAAGCATGAAGATAAGGATTATCATGATGGTAGTGGGTGATGACGACGGCGACGTCTAGGACCATTACCTCGGCAAAGCGGAAATACATGTGCTGGCAGTATAATTGTTCCGGTTTTAGAAGTACTTCCAGTTATAGAAGCTGGCGCAGACGTGCAGCTCAGGTACGACACCATGCGGCTGGCAAGGCATGAGCCTATTGAGACGGAGGCCGCTACACGCATTTCCCAGGCTAAAGCTTTAGCACCTCACAAGTATGTTATGCCCCAAGCGTCCATGCACCCATGTACTGTAGCATACACTTTGGCCTTACAATGGCCCATGTATATGAAGTCTACGAGCGCATGAACCCTGGGGGAAACCACATTGCTTTGGAGTTTTTGGCAGCTCACGGCAAGATCCTTGCGATGGAGGCAGGCTTCCAGGGTGCTTGGATGGCCACTGTCTCGCAGGTGAGGAGAACTACAATTTAAAAGTTGCTGGTTTAGGGTTTAGGTACCGACCGTTGTCCAATGATACTTCTGTTTCGTCTCTCTCTCTCTCTCTCTCTCCCGCTCTCTCCCTCTCTCGCGTTCTCTAGCTCCCAGCGTCTCTCCGTCTCTCTCTTCTCTTGCTTCCTCTGTGTTGTTCTTCGAACCTCCAGCTGTCTGTCTTTTGCTCCGCCAGTTTTTTTTGGTATATGTACACGGAGGTATATCATGTATGTGCGCGTACATGTACTTACCTGCGTACCGAAGCCTGCTTGCCTGCCTGTCGACCTGTCTTCCTGCTTGCCTGCCTGGTCTGCCGGCCTATGTACTTACATGCATACCTGGGGGTTTCCGAAAATTCGGGGTACCTTCTTCTGGCGTCCTTATAATAAGGATCCTACTTTCTAGGGTACTATACTAGGGGTCCCCCATTTTCGGAAACTTGCATATTCCCACAAGGGGGACAATCTAGGGGCCTTCATAATTAGAATAGGATTTGGGTGTATCTTGTACTATAACTGTAAGAAGGAGCCCTCCCATATCCATACAGGTCCATACATGTGCTGAAGCAGCCAACTTCGGCCTAACCTTGCCACGCAAGGCGCCGTCCTGGGAATGCCCGACGTTGCCCGTGAGGGGCAACAGAAACAAGCACCAGCCTCAACCTGGCTCAGAGTTTCAAGCCAGGCCCTCCCCCCAGCGCCCCTTAAAAGAGCCCGCCCCCCTACGGCCCCTTTATAGTGGGTATGTTGGGTACATTGGAGGGTAGTTGGGAGGGCAAGGATGTGAAGTCGGATTAGGCCTTAGTGATGTTTTTGTTGGGGTGGGGGGGTTATAGGGTCCTGCACCCCCAAACCTATCATAGCAACGTTAACATGGGCCTTCATTGTGATTTCCTCAACGTGCGGGTCTTTGTTAAGGGTCTCAGTGTTTTCGGGAAATGTTTGTTGTAAGGTGGTGCAACTGCAAGCTTTAGAACGGTATAATCTCATAGGACCCTTGACAGATGGAAAGGGAAGCCACCAGCATCGGCAGTGTTGTCGACGGAGACCTCGAAATCCATCGTCTTGCCTCCAGGCTCCGACCCAAAAACAATGCCCAAACCTGTGTAAGGCGCTTAACGCACGGAGCGCCAAAAGGTATGCTAAGATTTAAATTTGAGTATAACGTTCTAAATGAGTGGCGGACTGAGGCGTTGGACAACTGTGTTCGGTTGCCAGTCTTTCCAAGTCTCCAGTAAAGCCCAGACCTCTGGCGAGATCTTGACAAGACGATGTTCCGGATTAAAGGCAGAAATTTATCCCGGCTTCGTGCTGATACCTATATATATACTATGTATAGCAGGCCAAACGTGGGATGCCTCGAAGTTCAAGGTGGCAAGCCTGAGTGCTAAAGCCAGGCACGCCAACAGTTAGGGTTTTAGGGTTTAGGGTTTAGGGTTTAGTGTACAGGTAAGGGTGAATTGCTCGCCGCGAGTGTGCGAAAGGTTTGCCTGGCGTGCACAGGTCAAACAGCTACCTTTGAGGTGCGTCAACTCTGTTTGCCTAGGCCTTGTCTCCCTGCAATCGTAAACAATGGAAAATAAGCAGGATTTTTTGGCAACTCTAACCCATCGCTCTTCCACCCATCGATCTGCTTGGCAGTCAGGTACTCCCTCCAGCCGGAACGGAGCTGTGCAGACGGTCTTGGCACCTGGGGTGCAGCCTCCTCTATTTACCATGCGCGAGTGGGATGCTTCCCCCAAACCCTAAACCGCCTAAACCCTACACGGCCCTAAGCCTCTTGCTTTTCACACTGAAGGGGGGTTCCAATCAGCTTCCCTCGGGATGAGGTCCCCAATATGGATAGGTTTATGTGCCTTCTCGCCCCTCAGAGACATCATTCCTTGCCAAGGGTAGAGGGCATCATATGAGTGGTTGTCAAAATCATGGTTCCTTTTGGGGTACCCTAAATATTAGGTGCCGTATTATAATAAGGTGTAGCGACTGCTGTCGGACAAGTAGGGCTTTCAGGTGGATCGGCAAAACTCTGCAGATGCAATCACCATATTAAATTTAGGGTTTAGGGTTTAGGGTTTAGGATTAAACTCCTCAAAAAGTTCGGCCGACATGATAGAACCTGAGGAAAGACGGCGGCACCAGGGTTCCGAAATAAGAGAGGCATTCGCATGCATGTCAACAGTGCAGCGGAACGAAACCAGTATCAACTTGTGTTATCCTTGCATCTGAAACCCTAACCCTTAACCCACTGTAGGGCTCGTAAGCGATGATGCGTCCAGCGTGCTTAAGGATTTTGGTTGAGCGCTTCGGTTGCATCACCCTAAATCTCCATGCACCTGTACAGTATAGGCTTTTCAGGCCTCCCCATATAGGTACATTTCTCAACCGCATACTGCTGCCTATAATGCTTGCGAATATAGCTGCTGACATTTCTGCTCCCAGTTATACCTAAGCTTTAAAAGGTCAAGCGCTGAAAGGGAAGCATGTCCCCTTTGAGCTCAACATCGGAAAGCCCTCTACCTATAACAAAGCAGTCTGGACGATTGCTCATGCTCTGCTTAATCGCCGTAAAACTAGCCCAAGCTATACCCGAAAACACGGTTCTAGTTTAGTTGGAGTATAGTTTTTTACAGTGGTTCGCTTGCCAGCCTCACGAGCCTCGAAGCATCCGCCAAGAAGGACGCAGAGCGTCACAGCAGCTGATTTGCTGAATTAGGAAAAGGCCATAACAAAGAGAAGAAACAATCGAGGGATTCAAGGAGGAAGGAGGTCCCAAGAGGGTGTGTAGTGGGCATTGGGGCGGCTCCTAGTCACAGAACTTCTATTCCAAACAGCAAGGCAATGGCTGATTAAGAAACCCCAAACGACCTCAGGGAACCGAAAATGCCTACGCGCACAAATGCCTGCAGCGTTACCGCCGGTCAAACATCTTAGATGGGAAATATTAGAAAGTCCTATCAATGAAACCCCGGCGGCCGACAACACTCGGACCGAATGATCTCTGAATCGCCGTGTCAGGAGGCTCAAGCGAACGTTTGGTTCTAGCAAGCCCTGTACACTCCCGAACTCAGCAACAAAGTCGTAAAGTCGTAAAGCAACTCCTGCCACGTGACTCTGCAGTCCGATACTTTGGGATCATTCGGAAAGTGCCATCTACACTGCGACCAAAACTCCAGCAAGTTCTCACAAAAGCGCTTGTTCGGATGTTTGGCCCAACCGAAGTCTTGCACACCAGAAGCCGGCCCTGGTACCCAAAACTGCAATCTAGAATACACCACCCAGTACGCTGGATATCGATGCCGCAGTGCTTGCCAAAGACTGCTAGAGACAGGCAAAGAAAGCCTAACATTGTCAAGAAAGGCTTGGTCAGTGGAGGAAGGGCCCTGACCCAAAGCACTCCGGCATTCTCCTAGACACCAGCTACGCTTAGTTCGGGTGCGGGTGAGCGGTGAGCAAGTGCAACATCTCTGTGGCGACCTATCAGACTTACCTTCGTCAAAAGGAATCTGAAGGAGGTTAAGGCGCCTACATAACGAGGCAACAAGATGAGTCTGCAGATCTAAACCAGAAGAGATGTCACTTACTAGCGCTGCACGCTTTAAGCTGCACAGTTTGCGGGCTTCGGTTTTCGCGAGCTTGTCAACTGCTTCGTTGTGTTTTGTGAACCAAGGCTCTTGAGAAGATGTCGACAGGACGTGGGCCTTTACCTTCCTTATAGAAACAAGATCGTGCCTACCATGGACAGCTGTTGACACAGCATTCCACAAGTCAGCGTTGTCAAGCTTGCTGATCAAGGCCTTATCCCATTTATGGCGGCTTAGCCACCGAAAGGTGTTCACTACATATGCGCAATCGGAGACTATGCACAAGTTACCCTCAGACAACACCAAGGCTAAATACACGGCATGAATCTCGGCACGCGTAGAGGAATGATCGGATCCAGGGGTAACTTCTGCATAGTGTGTCATGCCGGGAAACACTACAGCTGCTGCGGAGCTTCTTGAGTATAGAGTTGCAGTGCAGAATGCAGGGTTTAGGATCCAGAATTCGAGCGGTCCGGGGCCACCCTCCATATAAACCCCCGAATGAAGGGATCGTAACACAGGGGTCCCCAGAAACGTAAATTTGCCACCACCCCCTTGTATAAATTATCACCGTCCTACGCCCTGAACCCTAAACCGTCCTTGAAAGGAGGATTTGAAGCTTTGAGGGTTTGGGGTTTAGGATTACAGGTTTAGGGTTTAGGGGACCTTGAAGCCATGCGCCGCAGCCACCGGGCAGTACTGGCTGCTCTCACCGCGCTGTGCGTTGGTTGCCTGCCAGCCTTCGTTTCCTGCGGAGGCTGCGGATTCTTGGAGCCTAAGGCCGAAAAGCGCCTAATTGGGGATTAAGGTTTCGTTTTGTGGTAGTTTAGAGTCTAGGGTCGCGTATATATATATATATATATACATACATACATACATAAATATATATATATATATATATATGTATGTATGTATATGTATGAGTGCATGTGTATGTATATGTTAGATAGATATATGCAGGTCCCCATGGCCTCCGCTCGACCACGTCCCGGTCTCTTCGAAGCGGAACTGCGCGGCGGGCCGGCAACGAGGACGCAGGCAAACGGGCTGTCGTTGCGGTTGAGCCCGAAACCGTAGCACAGGGTTTCCCAGAGGGCCTAAACCGTATTACAGGGCTTCCCAGAGGTCCATATAGGTACCTTGATCGTGGAATGTAGGGTTCTATAGTATCTATAGTAGGGGCAGTAGGGGTTACCACTATGATTTGGGAAAGTATTCCCCGTAACAATATCTAGGACCCTTTGGATCTGTGGGGTTTTAAGGTTCATGGGGCTTACAACAGGGTCTTTAGGCCTGGGGACCTATCTAACCCATGTAACCCAAGGTTCTATGTGGTTTGGTGGTTTGCAGGCGTTTTGGGATTTATATACGGGCTCAGGGTCCAGTGTGGCGCAGTTCCAATTTTTCGTTAGTTCCTGACCAAAAAACCAATTCGAAACCATGAACTATCTGAATAAAGCAGAGGTAGCCAAGAGTAAACAGCGGTCAGTATTGTCGAGATATATCAGTTGCTGCCAGAATGCAAGAATATGCTGGAAGAAAGAGGGCAGTAATTAGCCATGTGAGAATGCGAAACGTTTGACATGTAACTCCAGAGGGCCATGGGTTTTGAGGCTTGGGGCTTAGCAGCTAGAAAACCACTCGCTGCTTTTTGCGTGAAGAGTTCAAGATGCACCTACATGGGTAGTTCTGTAATTTAGTGTTCCATTTAGGTATTTCATTGCTTATCAAGGTGTCGTACTGTTTCGGGGATCAAAATCAAAAAACAGACCCTAATTTAGGAGAACTGCCCACATCGAAAACCTGTCGTCCTCATCTGCATGTAGGATTTGCGGCAGCAGCTGTTTCCAGAGATTCAGACGGAGACCTGATCTTAGGGTTTATAAGGGTTCAGGGTTTCAGGATTGTTTTGGTTTAGGGTTTTAGGGTTTAGGGGCAAGAAGTACAGGCCCGTGCAGGGATGTTTGACGGTTTGCAAAGGCTTGATGGGCATAGCATGCTAACACAACATTCCGATAGTCAATGCAAGTATTCAGTACTTCAACAGCATAGCATGCATAGGACTATATAGTGGTGCATTGCGGCGGCAGTGTACAGTACCGTGTTTTGTTGCATCAATAAGACTGGACCATCTATTCCTTCGTGCCTCGAAGCATACCTTCCGTATTCTTGCTTACAGGGGGCCCTTTGCAGCTTCGTTTCGAGTTGAAGCAGTGAGGGCTTTGGGGTTTTGGGTTCACGGCTTTCGGTTCAGGGTTTAGGGTTTTATACACCCTTAACCTGAAATCCTGAACCCTAAACCCAAATATATAAAACCCTGAACCTGAAATTGAATCCTAAACCCTAAAGCCCAAAACCCTAGGGTTGTTTTTTGGGGGCTGAAGGCCCCCTTTGCAGAGCTCAGCGCAGGGCGCATCGTCATCTTGGGAGCCGGACTTCAAGGTGCAGCACTTGCCGCTCCCGCAGCATAATCGGGTTGGGGGGTTTGTAGGGTGCCCGACATTGAGATCTTTGAAGATGTAAGCCTGGGGCAAGCCATATCTGCCCCGGCTCCAGCCCCGCTTTTCAACTTAAAGCGGCAGGCGTGTTGTGCTGCTCCAAGCTTGAATCATATGGGCGTTCATCCGGGGGGCAAACCCTAAGCCCTGAACCCTAAACCCTATATACCCTAAACCCTAAACCCCTGAAGCTTTCGAGCCTACTAATCATCAACTCGGCGAAATCCCAACCCTGAAGGCCCCAAGCAGCAAATGATTGCATACTAACCTTCATGTGCCGCAATTCCAAACCAGGAATACCCTGTAAGGGAGTTTCCGAAAATGGGGCACCCTAATATATACCCTAATAGTAGGATCCTTATTATAAGAACCCCAAAATAAGGTATCCCCAATTTCGTAAACTCCTATAAAGACTCCTATTACTTTCCACCGTTTGGGCTTGGGGTTTGGAGTCGGTTGGCCCGAATCTTTCGAGGCCTACTTCCTGACCCGCCGGGGAGTGAAGCCGGTCGTCGTGGAGCGGGACAAGGCGCCTGGGACAAGCCATGAGCGGTGAGTTTATCTTCCCAAACATGGGCGTCCTCTTCCCTGCAAACCCAGAATGGTGGTTTAGGGT